AAGGGGCAGGGGTAGGAGTGGAGGGGGGATACAGGCAGGAGGTGTCACTGCTGTGCAGCCGCATGAGTGCCACAGAGGACAGGGGTGGGGAGGAGCCTTTATACATGGCTCCCATGGGGAGGTGGGAGAGCGAGGAGCTGCCAACGGGATGGAGACAGGGAATCAGAGCAAGAAACAATCCAGCAAGTTCTAGGAATAGGTGTTAACACATAAGCAGGTGACCACTCCGTGGGACATACCACAAGAAGGCAGAACTGCATTACTGTCATTGTACACCGTGCTGAGATTCTTGGCTTGTATTAAAATGACTCTTGGGATACTAAAGATCAATGTCATGTCCCCCCAAATTCATGTCAAAATCCATACCCCAGTAGATGGTACTAGGTAGCAGGTGAGAGATCTTTGTGGGGTGGAGCATGAGAGGAGGGCCTTCATGGATGGGTTAGTGGCTTACACAAGGGACCCTGACTAGCCACAAGCAGAAGATGGTATTCTATAAAGCTATGAGCCACAAGCAGAACAGCACATCTGTAGGTGCCCAAGTTTAGACCACCCGGTCTCTGGCACTGTGAAAAAGACATCTGTGTTATCCATCTCCCAGTGTGACAGCTTCTGTGACGGCACTTAGAACAGCAAGTTGTGTAATCCTGGGGTGCTCATTCTCTCCATGCCGAGGACTCCCCAGGGGGCTTGGCAGTAATTACAACTGGCATGGCAGAGCTGTGAACACGGCTCATTCCAGTACTGCTCACCATCCCCTGCTCCCTTGGAGTGAGCACCTACTGGTGACCATGCACCAGCACTGCTGGTGTTCGTGTCGGTGAATAGAATTCCCAGAACAGCCATGACCACGGTCTGTGTCCATCCGGGGAACTTTCCAGGGCAGAGCAGGATGAATATTATCAGCAGAGAGGCCATCTCTGAGCCCAGGCTCATCCAGTGGAGGTGGTATAAAGGCCTCTCCTTACTACCACTGGGGGGCGCTCGCTGCTCCTGAGCATTTTAGAAGCCCAGGGGCAGGTAGTTGCACACAGTGGTCACCTCTTGCTTTCTTTCAGAAAGAACACTACCTCTACCTTCCTACCAAGTTTCCTCTACTGCCCTCCCAGGCAGCAGCAATGCTGTGAGTCCACTGGATTATTAATCCTAACGGAGGAGACTGGGCTCAGTTCTACTAGGATGGGAACAGCCACCATGGGACGGCCGGGTCACCATCTGTATATTAAATGCTGTGCTCTACAAAAGCAGGCACACACTAGAGGCGAGAAGGGTGGCCCCTTCCCCTGCAGACTTGCATGAACACACATGCCTGGAACCAATACTGCCCAGAGCAGCCTGTCTCTAAAGGCCATGGTGGACTTTAGCACCGAAACTGTTATTGCAGCTTTTACAACCAAGGAAGGTGTTGCCTAGTTTTTGTTTTGAAGCAGAATGGAGAACAAAACCTCACGTCAATGCTGGACTCTTCTTGTTGGATCTGGGAGAGTCAGGATTCCCTGAAGGCTGAAGACCTGGGAACCTCCCAGTCCTGATTTCAGTGGGCCAGGAGCTCACTCAAGTTTCCATTGGGATGTGCATGCTGAGTAGACTAATGATTGGAAACTCAATTTTGAGAGTTGAAGCTGAAATCTGGGGCCTGATGTCAGCCACACAAGGCCCAGCAGGTTCCTGGGGGCCAACCCCTCCATGTGCAGGGAGCCAGGCCCAATAACGCCCGAGCTCTTTTTCAGCAGTTGCTTCAGCTGTAAGCAACAGAAATCGACTGTTGTGGGGAATTAAAGACACCAACACATCTGCCTGCATTGGCAGTCTCACGGTAGCTCACACGACTGGAGGAAGAGCTGAGGAAGAGATGGGTGAAGGCAGAAGTGGAAGACCCAAGGAGCTGAAAGTAGGTGCCTGCATTCATCTTCTCTAAGAGGCTGCTGCTGAGACAACTCAGCTTTGTTCCCATCCCCAGGTGCAAGACCAAGACTGGCTCATTTGAGCCACACGCATGCTGGAATGAACATGGAGCAGAGTGAGTGCCAGCCACAGCCCCCTTCTCCCCACCCCACCCCTGCCCCCATTCTACTCCACCCCTTCCCTGACCTCACTCTGCTTCATGTGGAGACTTTCAACGTAAAGGGAGAATCTACCTAAGCCCTGTTAACTCCAGTTGTCAGCATGGAGCAGACAGCCAAAGCTGTGACCCCTCCACCCTGACCTGGAAGCTGGAGATGAAGCCGAGGGAGGTGAGGGACCAGAGAGCTTAAACAAGAGGGCGGGGACTTGGAAAATGTAGAGTTGGGGACAAGAATGTTCTGGAACCTTCTAGAGAGTTGGAATATGGCAAGACAATAGGCCTCGGACTTGGGTAAGAAAAGCCCTTGGGAAAGGGGGCAGTTCAACAGGGTTATGTGGATCTCAGAAAAGCTGCCCACTGTCCAGATGCTAAGGAAGTCATGTGGTCTCTGCGGGAGCCTGCACGCGATCGGTGCTGCTTGTCCACGGGGGCTCTGCGCCGTGCTGCTGTGTGCTTTCATTAAGGTGGGGGCTGTCACAAATGTGGTCAATCTAAAGCCATCCTTTAACTCTGTTCCCTTATCAAGCAGAATCCTCCTGAGATCAAGGGGATGAAATGCTGGGGACTCAGTCTTCAAACCCCCAGTCCGAGTGGAAGGAGGGAATGCGGGGGATGCTGGACGAGGTGATACCTGACGATGCTGTAGTCACCTGGCAGCCACAGGAGGGTAGCACTAGAACAAGACAATGGGGTGGTCTCTTTGAGACCACCTGCCTCTTACACTGCTTAGAACGTTCACACACATGACTGGCCACATTGCTTTCAGTCAGGTGGTTTGTCAGGTTGCACCCAGAAGCATCTCAATGACAACATTTCCCAAAGATAAAAATCAAGCAATGGTACTCAACATGCCGATTCCTCACTGCCCAGCCCAGCCCCTCCTCTCTGGGTGCCCATGCTCGTGAGTTCTGCACACTGCTGACTCCTCCCCAGCATCCTGCCTTGCTCACACACTTTTCTAGCCTTTTCTATCCCCTTTAGGTGTGTGACCTTGACCTTGAGACTGTTCATCTCTAACACAGACTCTGAGCAGGGAGGCAAGGAAGGCAGAACTTCCTCCTGCCCCTTGTGCCCGGGGCAGCCCTGACAACTCGGGCGGTGTGCAACCTGCTTTGGCAAAGGGACTGCCTCCGTCAGCTGTCACTCCTCACACACCGGGGCTGAGGAACAATCACCCTCCCTCCTTCACAGCCATTTTATTGCCTCATTGCAATGCCACATTTCTTTCACAGCAATAGAGCATGAAATTAAAACACATGCATCCACAAAAACCCTTGCCTACCCTGAACTGCCTGAGCTGCTCCAGTCGTCAGCTCCAGGTTAGCAGTCTTTGTCATTCTAATTACATCTGAATCAAAGCTTTTACATGGCTGGTGTTAGCACTGTCGATGTAATTATCAGTATGAACAGCACCCTGTTGTCTGTTGCTCTGTAAGGTCCTTCTTGGCCATTTGTCATGAAAGGTAAGGATTTCTATTATGCTTCATGGTCCATAATTTTAAGTCATCATTAGAGAAGTGCAACCATTTGACTCCTTCTGTTTGTTGTGCACCAGCACATAAGTGGGCACCATCAGTGTTTCTTTTTTTCAAAACAGTAGCAAAGGACTATTTTCCTGCATTCACTAGTTTTAAAAAGTGCAGAATTGTTAGTTGAAGCACAATATTGTTTCATTTTCTAGTTCTACATGAATTTTAGGTTTGGGTTTTAAATGTTTTATGGTTTGCTATGACTTCGTTTCTGGGGAGTCCCACACTCATTTTCAAGGCTTCCGGAGGGTATGGCTGCTGTCATCTTAAGCCACCAATGGTTTGACTTTAGATGCAGCCACTCAGGCCTTGCCCTCCTCTCCCCAACACTGGCACAAGCACATGGTTCTGTGCCAAGACCAGCTTGAAAAGCCATGGCTGGAAAGGGCATTCCTGGGCTACAGACCAAGGTCTTTACCGGGTGCCACGTGCCCTCTGGGGCTCATCCATGGCACAGATGGCTTGATTAAGGTCATCCAAAAGATTCTCTCCGGCACCCCCAGACATGCTCACTCGGCTGAAGATTTCTACAGCCACTTGGGGTCTTTCAAAATGAAACCTGGTACACTAGCCACTGCAAAGTGATTGACTCTCTCTCCATATCAAAGATGCAGGAATCTGGAAGAGCCGGGGTGCACCTGCTTAGAACTGACAGAGCAGCAGTGAGCTCTGTTCAAGTGGAGCAAGATTAATGCCAACTAGCAGCACTTGGTAACACAAAGGGCCGCATGGAGACCTGCTGCTTCCTGATTCTGTTTCATCTCCCATTCTGCCAGAGCCCTACCTACCCGAGGTACCTCCCACCACAGAGGAACAGGAGCTGGCCAGACCTGTAGAACCATCATAAAAGAGTCTTCAAAGCTTGGACCCTATGGGCACAGCTGGCACCCTGAAGTCTTTCTTGCCTCTTGTGGCCACTAGACACCTGACTGGTGAGGTCACACTACTTCCCACGCAGGGGTAAGAAAGAACCTCCTCTCCCCAGAAAGAAATCTAAAATTTTCTACAGGACACTGAGCCACAGACTTGGCTTACAAGCCTACTGTGGAAGGCTGGAGGGTTGCTATGCCCAGGAACCCCTAGACACCACAGTGGCTTCCTCCCTAGCCGGCATTGCCATGCTTGTTGTGTTTGGTGGAGGTCTACATGACATGATTCATCTCCTCTCCTTCTTAGCCCTGGAAACGTCATGGCCTGAGCTCTCGGCTGCAAATCTATTTCAGAGCCTTGCACTGTGAGAAGCTGGTTCAGAAAGTTATGGAGCTAGATCTTGAAGCTCACCTTCCAGAGGGACCTATAGACAGAGCTGGCCTCAGGCCTCCACTGTGAACCACCCCATTCCCCACCCCATAGCTCCAAATAGCTTTGGCTGTACCAGACGAGGTCAACAACAAGTCTTCCAAGTGGGAAGCTTTATTATGTTTCATAATCATGAAAACAAGGATGTGGCTGAGAAAGCAACCATTTCAGAGAGAGGAGTTGGCCAAGCGACCTCACCCCGGCCCAACAGCCTCCCTCCACGTGTCCTTCAGAAGTTAACCCTGTGTCCTTCCTAACTTGAGAACGTTGAAAGCAGACATGGAAAAGTAGTGGGGGCACTGTCGATAAAGGGGAACCAGGAGGGTAACTTGGAGAAACAATGGACGAAAAACACACTGCAGAAAACCTTTGCTACTGTGTTAACGATGTCAGGATGGAAGGGCATGCCACCAGCTCAGCGTCCATCCTCCCGGGCCACTCGTCATACAGGGCCCTCGGTGATCCCCTCCAGAGGCAAGCTGGGCGTGCTGTCGGCCGCGGGCCTCTCCTCCTTCAGTGAGGCTGGGACTCGGAGGCTGACGTACGGTTTATGACACGCCATGTTGGCCAGGGGCGGGTAGTGCTGTCTGTAGCAAATGTAAGCAAAAATGAGGCCGATGACTCCGCCAACAAAAGAATCTAGGCAGGAGAGAGCAAAGAGGGGAAAGACGTGTTAACTCTTTCTTCCTGCATGGCCAGCTATGCTTTCTAGAAAGCACTTTTCCCACCTGCTCCAGGACCTGGCTTGCTCAGAGCACCCCTGGAAGGGGAGGAGGAAGAGCCCCCAGGTGCATGCTACAACCCCTGGTGGCCTCGACTACCTGCCATCATTGCCAGCACTTTTTTCTCTCTCTCTCTTTGGTTTCTGGAACTTGCAGATGAGCCTTATACGCACTCAGATTTAGATTCTCAATTTTGAAGATTAATTATCATTACTGCAAGAAGCATCCCAGCCATCTCTGCAGGATCCAAATAGCCTCGGGGACTGTCGTTTCTGTTTTCTTGGCAAGTTCCACTAGCCAGCATCCTGCGCAGTGGCTGGTACGCCACAGGAACCCAGTGGGTGTGCAGAGCTCTGCCCCAGGGCAAGCGTTCTCCCAGGGATGAAGAAAGTCCTCTGAGTCGCAAAGTGAATAAAACATTTCCCATTTGTGCACTTGGCTGATTCAGGCGGGAGGGGCCCATTCCCCTCTTAAGGAACTGCAGATCTGGCCACAGAGGGTGAGGAAATGGAAGATGTGGTGAAAGGGTCGGGCTGCAGGCAGGACAGGTCCCTCCACCAAGGGGCAGCCCTGGCCAGCCAGATGCTCAGAGGTGCCTGTCAAGACTTCATGAAAGCAGCTCACCCTAACAACCCTGGCAGGTGTGGCACTCACACGCCCCTGGTGTCCCAATTCTGCAGCACACAGTGGTCCATGGTGCTCAGTCCATCAAGCTGGATGACCAGGTAACTCCCCATGTCCCAGGCTTGGAACAACAGCAGTCCCATGTGCTAAGAGGTGTGCCCATCAAGGTGAAGGTGAGGGTCATGGGTTTTCCTTGAAGACCATAACTCAGGATGATGCATTTTCCAGCACTTCCCTAGCAACAACACATTGCAGAATGTGTTGTGTTGTTATAGTTTAGACACGTCCTTTTGCGATTCCCTTAAAGGTATCTTTGCATAATCTATGCCTACCAGAAGAATGTTGGAGAATGGGAACACGGTGTTTATCTTTCACAGAACTGCCTGCTATCTCCAACATTTCTACTAGGCTAGTAGCAAAACATAAAATATTCTGTAAGAGATAGCTTTGGATTCTTTTTAAAAAATAAAATGATTGATTTAAGAATAAATTTATTGACTCTTAACAGCCAAACAGGAAAAGAAGCATAAAGGAAAGTTCTTTTGGCTCAGCTCTTTCTGCGGCTGCAGCATGAACATTGAGTGAGTGCAGACCACGTGCCCAGTGGCTGTTCTGGTGAATGAAGTCTGCGTACAGTACCTGCTGACATTCTTGCAGTTGCTGTACAGAACCCAGGCTGTTACAGAACCAGCCACACACAGGCTTCTTGAAGTTGCTGGTCTGGCCCTGCCCACCATCCATCCACTGACCTTCACCTCTCCACTCCAGCCTTGGCTTTCTTTTCAATTCTTTAGCACACCTGCTTTTCCCACAGGGATGCTCTTCTGATCCTGGATTCCTGGGTGTCCCTTTCTCCTTAGCATCTCCTCTCTTCAACTGCTATTCCCATTTCAGAGCTTAACAAAACACCATCATGCCACAAAACCTCACCTGTTCTCCAGTCTAGACCATGTCTTCCAGGTATGCCCTACTTCCTATGCAATCAGAGCAGTGAGAAATGACCGCTTGTGATTGCTTCATGTTTAGGGCTGAACTCAAAACTCTGTGAAGACACAGTCTGTGTCTATGCTGTTGGCCACTGACCCGCATCTTGCTCTCGGGAGAGTTAAGTTTAATGAGGGCAGTGAGTGTGCAGGCTCCCTGGGTGAGCCTCTTCCCTGTTCACTCCCATGTCACCTCCTCCATAACACAAGGAAACTGAGCAGGTGCATACTATCTAAGAGGCTTTCAGATGGAAGAGCCAGGAACTTGAGCCCCTAGGTCAGCCTTCTGGGGCAAGGTGTATACCTTCTCTGACCTTCAGCATCCTGGTATCTCAAATTCTTATTCACTTTCTGTGCTATGATGATGACATAATACTACACTCATTCCTTCCAGACATGCCATGGAGCATGTCAAAAATGAATCTGAATAAAAAGAACCATTATCCTTCCATTGGTCCCCTCACATCCTGGTCTAGAACCCCTGGCACTTTTTCTCCTGCCTTATCCTTCCTCTTGCATGACAACTCAACAGCCAGGAGTTCTAATCCCTTTATCATGGCACTACTTTCATAGGATTTTAAATGCACTTCTAATGAACTTCAAAAACATTTGTCACCCAGGGAGTTGCAAAACAATATGGACCATAAATTCCAGAGCAGGATCACAAGGTCTAGTTAACATGATGAAAGGCGGCTGTTCAAATGAAGAATCTCTTCACGCAGCCTATGGCCACCAGCCTATAAAATATATTCTAGAGTTGTACTATTGTTTTGCTTTTCTCCTAACCCCAGGGAGCAGCCTCATGGGTGTTATTTTTATTAGCATCTAAAATGATCTACAGCATCCACATTTGAGAAATTGATGACAGAATAGGCTAAAAAGCAAAACTCGTGAGCAGTTCCCTCCCCCGCTCTGTTTTCTGTGGAGCAGTGTTCCATTAGGTGGGTCATGGGCCAGCACACATCAAACTACTTCCTGATGGCTCAGGCTGCAAGAAAATGGTGATTCCCACCGATGCCAACTTCCCATTGAACGGATTGAGTACAGCGGGAACATGAATGCCACCACAGAGATTTTCAGAAGTAACAAGGACAATGAGAAGTCTATCCAAGTCGCCTTCTTGGCTTCTTGCAAAGCTCTGTTGGTGAGCAAGATTCCCAAAGCAGCTTATTTAGGAGGGACTGCAGGTGGGCTCCTTCTGTGCATGACCATCACATGCCCGTCCTGCCTACAGAAAAATAGGGTGCAGCTTGATTTTCACTGGAGGGTGGGAAGAAAACTACTTGGACTTACCTCAAATAGCAACCAGAGGATGGCTCAAAGGGAAATGCAAGAACCTCAGGGTTCCTCTTGGCTTGGCACTGATGTCATTCTTTGGATACACATGGATTGCAGGGGAGTCAGGCATGAGGCATGATAGCCAGGCCTTGGACAGGACAATGAAGACCAAGAAGGCCCTGCTGCACCATGGCTTTTAGCACTAAGCAGCATGGCAGACACCAGTAGGCAGGACCAGGAAGGAACAGAGTGCGGTGTGTGTCCTCTTTCACTGAGGACATGACCCACCAGTAAGATCAGAAGGGCGAGAAGCACAAGCCAGGGGAGAGGTGGAGGCCTAGAAGACACCTACAGCTTTCCAGGCAAAGGCAGCAGTGTGCGTGAAGACAGCGAAGAAAGGAATTGGCAAATTTGAGAACCTGTTTGATAAACACCACCCTTCTAGCAGAGGAGTTGTCTTTGCAGGACAGAGGCTGAGCAGTCATCTGGTGTGGAAGAGTGGAACACTTTTACATTCTTCTATGGTATGTTGAGCCTCAGCATGGCTTAGGGGCCCCGATTCCCTCTGGGTTATTCATTGTGAATGCTGTCACCTCACACTTGCTGCCCAGCACTGAATCCCATTCCCAAGTCTGTCACTTTCCTACACGGTGGTGTCTAGGACCCCAGGCCATCCCATGCATATTCCTTTCCCCGGAGCTCATCAGGATTTGTTCCCATGTTGAAGGAAACAAGCTGAGAGGCCCATCAGCAAGATGTCTAAGAGGTCATGCAGTATATGACTCGGCTTCCATGCACTGCCCACAATGAACCAAACTATGGAGGAAGAAGGTAGATTTGCAGTGGCGGGATCTGCAGGAAGATGATGAGTGACTGCCAACAGGTATGAAAATTGGGGGCTGGGGGCAGTGTCAAAAAAGCTTTCTGGAATTAGAAAGCGATAATGATTGTACAACTATGTCTATAAAATCTATCAAATTGTACACTTTCCAGGGGGGAAATTGTGCTATCAAAGAACAGGCTAATATTTCAATAAAGCTATTCTCTTAAAGGGGGCATATGGATCAGTTCTATTGATAATGGACAAAGGGATAAACTTTGAATCAGGTAACCAGGAACTGAATCATAGCCTACAAAATGGTGATGACCCCATCCCCTCACAATGTCAAAGAGGAGGCAGGCATTCATGAGGCGCATCAAGGCGCCAAGTTCTGTCCACTTGCTGCACCACAACATCCAGAAAGGTTTCTGAAAAGGTGTCATCTAATCTCCAGGAGACGCACACCCCTCACTGTCACCATGGCAACACACATCCCTGGGCTAGATTGACTGGGGACTTCGTATGCCCGCGGCTCCTCGACGCAAGCCTACAGCAAAAACGAGCTCTGGAAAACTCAACAGCTCCATGTCATCCACTGCTGATCTTTGTCTTAGTTCCAGTGATTCTCCTGCTCGTGCAGCTTTCTGGCTTGATGACGTTGAGCTCCTCTAAAGGACTTTTACAGCACAGAGGGTGCACAATCTGTCAGTTACACCTCGGGCAAGAAGGGCGGTGGCTGTGTCTTACTCAACATCAATCCACCACCAATAGGAAATATACACTTGACAGGGGTATAAACTAAAGAATTAATGAATGAAACATATTTTTTTTTCATTTACTTGTATGTCTGTATGTGTGAGAGAGTGTGGGCAAGCTCCTATCCATTGGCCTAGTCCCAAAATGCCCATAGTGGTCGGGTGTCAAATTTGGGTAACAGCAACTCAAGCCAGGTCGCCCATGAACTACCTGAGCCATCATTGCTGCCTCCCATGGTGTGCGTTCACAGGACACTGAACTCGGAACAAAGAGCTGAGTTACGAACTCATGCTCTTTGGCATGGAATGGGGCTGTCCTAAATTCTGGGCCTATACCATCTAGCTTATTTTCAAAAGTAAAAAGAATTTGTAGGCAGTAAGATTAAGACAAAAGGATCTAGTCAGAAAGGAACATGAAGGAGTCGGCCTCACTCACTCACTGAGCACAGTTCAGGGTTCTGTTTTCACACTTCCCTCCTAGGGTGGGGAAACAGGGTCCTGGTAGGAGACACTGAGTGAAAAGGAGGTAACAGAGTGACCCTCACTGCGAATGGCAATGCAGACAGGTAGGGAGACAATCACAGGAGGACCCAGGCAGGGGAGGGGTCACGCTACAATAGCCAAGCCACAACAGAGGGAGAGGCAGAGAAGGCAGAGGGGCCCAGCTGAGCCTTTGCTTTTATGCCAGTCTCTGAGACAAAGCATTTGAGTCAAGTCCTTTGCTGTGGCAGCCCTCAGAGGTCAACACTCCCACATGCACCTGCTGTACCAGGACAACGAAGGGCAAAATCCTCACTTACATGGAAATAGAGGTCAGGCACCATGCCAACTTTCACTGATGTACCACCCAGAGCTGCCCTCATGCACACCAACCACAGCAGATGCTACAGAGACTCGTGGTCATGTAAAGCCCGAGATAGTCACCTTCTGATTCTTCGTCAACTCTGTCGGCCCCATTCTAGCGGACACCGGCAGACAAGGATCAGCGCATAAAGGATCTGTTTGTTAGAAATGAGTAGGTACTAGGGCTTGCCCACAAGGACCTCTGATTAGAGAATCAGGGTGGCTGAAAAATGACCTGAAGTCACATGGTGAATGGCCTAGATCCACACACAGAGGTCTGGGCATGGGGCTTGCCATTATGCCTGGGACAGAGCAAACCACACATTCCTGCCACTCCAAACTGCAGACTCCACTGCCCTGAATCAGGAGTGTGAACAGAAGCACAAGTGGGCTTAGTGTCAGGCTCTGCACTTTGTCTATACTGGAAAAACAGTATTACTCTGTCCCAAAGCTGAGCCTGTCTGTGAGGCCCACCTCCTGTGAGGCTCCCAGCTTCTGGCTGACCTGGAAGCTGGCTAGTGTATCACAAAAATGAAAAGACCACCAGCCACTCCGTGATTCAGTGTTGGCTGATTCAGCCAGGGTTACTTTGGGGGCAATTCTGCTGGACGGCCTTGCTTCCACCAGGGACTGTGCCCTGTCTTTTCTTCACTTCATAGAACACCAGACTGGCGCACGTTGGAGAGGCCGAAGAGAGCAGACAGGGACATCAGTAACAGAAAACAACCCTAACAACAGACACAGCAGGTGATGCTGGAGTGGATGGTCCATTTATTGGGCATGAAAATGAAATGGAGTGGTTGGATGTATTTCCACGCTAGGCATGGTTGCTCAAATCAAAATTGAAATGGAGTTGTAAAGTCCCCTGTAGTAGAGCTGCTAAGTGAAGATCAGTATTAGGAGGACTTGGGTTCTGGTCATGACTCTGGGGTTCTGCAGCGGCTCCCATCAGGATGGACAACCCCACCCTGATCTCCATCCCTGGGCAGCCCCACTCGACAAAAGAAAACAAGTTGTTCACCTGAGTCGGCCTTCTGCCTCAAACAGCTGCCCATATGGCTACCCAAGGCCTTGCTGTCCACCCACTCCCCTTCTCCAAGCAAGGGATCTTGGAAACTTCCAGGGTTCCTCCATTAATGACAGTGTTCACTGCATAACTTTTCCCCACTCTTAAAAAACGGCTGCTTTCTAATGCAACAGAAGAGAGAGAAAGATGGAGCTGAAATTTGGCTTTGCTCAGGCTCTCTCATATTTGGCACTGTTGGCATGTGGGAGAGGGAGTGCTCTAGAGGTATCCTGTGTACAATGGGAGTTAAGTAGCACCTCCAGCCTGTACCCCTCTGTCCACTTGATATCAAAAGCACTTCCCTGACAAGTGTGGCAACCACAAAGATGCCAAAAGCTAAATGTCCCCTGAGAGATACAACCAAACTTCCCATCCCTAGAGAACCACCAGTGTAGACAGGGGGACGCAGGTACAGCAAGCCTGACTCAGAGTCTGTAGATAATCCAAGGAAAAGCATGCTCTTCTCCTGGCTCACTCTAAGGCACAAACTGAGCAGACAATGGAGAACTGAGCCAGTGAGCCCTGTGCCAGCTAATCCAACCTCAAGGTCCGGCTCTAGAAGCCTGACTTGACATGGTTGGGATATGCACCCCATCTATGGGTCTAAACATCACTGGGGAGGTCACTCTCACATCTTGGGCTTTCAGGGTATAATCATCTTGCAACGCCTCTGAGTCCCAAGATAAAGGAAACCTTGATCCAGTCCTGACACCCTTGATCATTCTACATAGCCAAAGTGGTCGAACGCAAGTGAAAACCCAACATTTGCAGTTTACCAACAGACAATTCCAAACACAGAGCTGCGACCAAATCAGCTGTTTGGGGAGCACCACACAAGTCCTGGGCTGAACATATCCATTGGAAGAGCACCCATGGTGAGTTTGCTCTTGCGGGTTGGGTTTGATACAGAGCAGAAGCCAAAAGCCACTTGTCACCAAGTCCCAGGATGAGGAAAACAATCCTGGAGGAAAATCAGATGTGGGGCTGAGGCTGAGGGTAACTGGAGGGTCTGACATCCTTGAAAGTGAAGAGGGAAGAGCAGAGGTACCCCCATACATTCCCTGACAAACGCAGCATGCATGAAAGCAAGAATTAATTGGGGGTCCAAACTGCCATCTACTCTGTCCTTAGAGCCGACTCAAGCTTCTGATAGGAGATCTACTTAGGCCTCCCCCGAGCGGTCCACCAATCCCTGGAGCCTGGGCGGGCACTCACCTTGCCAGTGATGCTTGTAGTCACACATGCGGGACAGGGCGATCATCATGGCACAGTACAGGGGCAAGATGGCAGCACAGAGCCGCCAGCTCTTCCCCCGCCCACTCTCAGTGAAGCAGTGCAGTTTGCCCGCCAAGTAGAATGTCGTGAAGCCGAGGCCAGAGAAGGCAACTGCCAAAGAGAAACAGTACATGTTACGCTAGCTAGCAGGCAGTGAGTGGCAGGCATTCAGAGTATGCTGGGCATCCCACCTGCCATCCTGCATACCCCCAGGGCAAGGCCATGTTGGCAGCCGGGACCATCTGGGCAGTCTGTGCTCCTGCTGGAACCATGCTGGCTGGGACTTCCTACCATGGGAGTGACCTTCCAGGCTCACCTATGATCAAAGTACTACACTTTGTTCATTCAGTACAGATTGGATGGGTTTCTCCTGGGTAGACAGGGACTGTGGTAGGTGTGGACAATAAGAACAATGCATTGAACACTATCTCAGAAGCCTTACAGTCTAAGCAAAGAACATGGTCATGCAAACAGATAGCTTGAATACGGAGTGTTACGTTTTGGAAGAACAAAAGATTGTGAGAACCACTGGCTTGGGAGGCAGTATGCGACAGTGGTTTCTCTCAGACAGAACCAGTAAATGCTAGGGAGGTGTGAGTTGGAGCGAGACATCCCTGATGCCAAATGTCTTGCTTTCTCTTAGTAGTCATCGTGCCTGCTTTCTGGAAATGCTATGATGGCCTATGGTTGTGTTAAATCCATTGTCAAAAGTGTGGCAGCTGAGTGTAACGTTTAAGAGACCCCAAACTTTTCATCCAAACAAGCTTCAAACATAGTTGGAACTCAGCAGATTGAGGGGGTGTCTCTGTGGGCTCAGAGCAACAGAACTCAACCCTGGTTGCCCATGGAGCTTCTTGGAGCATCTGGGTAGGCAGTCCCATCTCCAGCCATTCTGTCTGTAGTGATCGAGGAGGGCTCTGCTTCACGTTCACTCACATGTGGGTGTGTAGCCCTCTGAATTCCCCAGGTGATTCTAAAAGTGGCCACAATTGACCTCAGAGCTCTGAAGGCAGAGTTCCTAGGCAACCAGCCTACACCAGGATGTGGTAAATAGGTTTTACAAATACTCTAATGCCAGTACAATGACAACTGTTCCAGGTTCCTAGGCCTGCCGTGGGAGGGTGTTACAAAGGCAGACTCCCAGTTCCACCCTAGACCTACAGAGAGAATCGGCATTTCATGCCATCCATAAGTCATCTGTGGATGACTCAGCAGGCCAAGAAGCCCTGGCCACAAACACATTTTGACATCTTTGCAAGTGATTTCTAAGCATCTGTTTTAAGCAAATAATCCCAAATATGGAGAAATCTAGGTGTCTCTGTGCTCAAAAGTGATTTGTAACTGTAGTAAAACTGGAAGTGGTTAGCACCCAGGCCTAGAATAGCAAACTATTTTGTTTCCAGTAGTCTCTGAAGCAACCCTGTAAACTGTGACTGCGCACTAAAAAAGACGGCACTTAGAAGGCACCATTTACTCCACAACTTAGGACTCTACTGTAGACTCAGCATGGCCATGTATAGTAAGAAATGGTCACACATAGTAAGGAATCACCTGCAGCATGTCCACATGACATGTGATACTAATATCTTCTTTAAAGGGACCTCAGCCACAAACACAAGATTATACTGGAGGATAACAGATTCAGCAACCAAATAAACAAAGAAGAGAGCATACTACATTAGATGTGACCTAAATATAAAACTGAAGCTAAAGCAAGGAAACATACATGGAAGTGGTTTGTTCCCTGCAACATTTCTGAATGATGAGCAGCATTTAAACTTCAGTGCAGTGGCAACACACATCGAATAGGTAAGATGCATTCTATTACATGCAGTGGGAGTACATTCACTGGAAGAGAGGGAGATTCATGGGCATTTTTCAAGGCTGAGGACAAGGGCCTGGGACCCATGTGATCCAGGAGCAGCCAGTCTTCTCCAACACATGTGAGTATGTTCTGGATAATATGTTGAAGGCATCACCGTGTGACCTTTTCTGGGTGACACAAAGGCACTTCTGGATCAGAAGCATCTCAATGACATTCACAGTTCCTGAGCTGACATGCTGTCTTCTGATCAAGGACTTGGGCAGTAGCTCCTTCTGGCTCAGAAGGCACATCGAAGAAGGCAACACTGGCTCTTTGCTTCATTTTTTTTTAATAGCCAGCTGAGCAAGAACTAGATTGTCCCCAGTTACACCGAATGGACAGAAGTTCACACTTTCCCTGCCACCTTTTCCTTAGGGCCAAGAGATCTGGGATAAAGCCTCCCACGAACCATCCAGCTCCAAGGTCCTAGGACCCCTCAACTATCAAGGCAAGGATTCAGATTCAATTGGAAGGAAGAGACAGCAGGGGGGATGTCAAAGACACTACAGGGTTGCTTAGCCTCTTACCCAAGGATGTGAATGAGTGGCACAGTGGTTAGGAAACTGCCTGGGATCCCTGTGTTCCAAGCCAGAGTGGCTGGGCCCCACCTCTGACTCCAGCCTCCGGCTAATCTACAACACAGCACATGATGACTCAAGCCCTTGGTTCTCTGCCACCCACATGGGAGACTTGGATTACGCTTCTGACTGAGGCATGGCCTCATCCCAGAGGAGGGAGTGAACCAGTAGATGAAGATCTTTGTCTCTCTTTATTTTCTAAATAAATAAAAAAACAGGAAGCCTTTTATCCCCTTGCAGAGTGGCTGAGATGACAAGCATTCTGAGGGAGTGTTGGTCCTTCCCTTTCAACGTGACTCTGGATTCTAGCTTTGAAAGAATCAAAACCGAAGCAGGAACACTCAGAAGCACACACACAGGGCTCTGGGAATTTCACAAGACAGGAAACGCCAGATCTCTCATATACCCCTTTGCAAGGGGAAGATCTGCCCTGCATTTTTAGAACTTATGCCAGCTTTTTGTGGCTGCAGGCAGCTGACTGTAAATGTTTATAGATTGCTGTGGCTGTGAAGAGCAAAGCTGATTGCAAGTGGAAGAAGATGAAAGTGATAGCTTCCCACCCTGTTTCTGGCCCTGGAGATGCTCACTTGGCTGTTGTCGATCAGAGAAGAGACACAACCTGCAGCGGAAGAGGAGCTGGTGCCAGAAGTGAAGCTGGGTGCATCCAACAAACAGCATGCGCACTGCAAAGCAATCACCATTCTCTGGTCTGCCCACTTAGACAAGTAACACACATTTACAAGTCTCCCTTTGCAACGGAAGGACCTATTCATTGAGCTTGCTGAGGTGCAAGGGATGAGCTGCCAAGTCATGGGTGACACAGAGGAAATATGAATGCATATTTCTAAATGAAGGAAACCAATCTAAAAAGGCTACATATTGTAGGGTCCAACAAACATCCCGGAGTAGGTGAAACTGTGAAGCCAAAAAGTCAGTGGTCGCCAGACATTGACAGGAGGGGAGAGCTGAACCGAGCACAGGTGGCTCGGGGCAGTGCAATGACCCTGTATGGACACTTATCAGCATGCATTCTTCAAGGTTCACAGAACACACAACACCAACAGTGAACCCAGTGAAAACTGGATTTGTGGTGATGTGCCAATTTAAGCTCATTGATTATAACAAATGCACAACTTGGTGCTGCAAGATGTTGATGCTGGAGCGATAAAGACGAAGCTAGGAATGATAGGAAACTTCTGCTCCTTCCACTCAATTTTGCTCTGAATCTGAAACTTGAAAACACACATGTGTGTGCATGCACACACACACACACACACACACACACAGTTTTTTTTTTTTTTAAAAAAAGGGTGGATTTCCTCTTCTCTCAGTTGACTTCTAAACCAAATGGAGAATCTTTGGACTCTAATTACGGTAAGATTTTTAAAAATGGGAAATCCTTAAAAATGAAATAAAAAATCAGACTCCATCTTGAATGTTATTTTTCACTTTTTCTAATTGCAATACATTTTTGTCCAAATAGATCATTTCTGTCTCTACAGACACAGCAGTGCTCTGAGGAGGAAAGCTTCACAAACATTCCTCTAATCATGCACTATGAGACAGAATCTTCTGCAAGGGAGAGAAAGGTAGCAATCAAGAACCAAATACATATCGGAGTTGAAGAGTGTCAAGGGTGGGTGGAAGTACATCCACCACCAAGCATGTGGAAAACGAGCCTGCTTATTGGGGTCTGCTCTTGCCTTCAAAGCAGGAGCTGGGGGTCCCTGGATACATAATCCTGAGGAAGTACTTTCCATCTTTGGGTTTCAAGCTTTCTCCATGCAACAAGGAGGCTGAATCCCAGAGGGTCACCACATATATCATGGCCATGGGGCTGCACCAAGAGTGAACACAAAGAAAAAAGCTTGAAAACTGAAGTCGAATTCCTTACAAACAAAAACCTTTTTGGCCTGTCTTACATTATTATTCCATTGTTGCTAGATCCAAGAAAATTTTAATGGCTCCTTTGTAATGATAAATAACAACTAACCTGGTCCCGCCATCTCACTGTTGGGAGACAACTGGGAGTGGGTGAGGAGTAGGAGAAACTGCAGAGAATTCTTTTTATCAAAACATGACAGTCAAGTCGGGATCTGCCACAAGGAAATGCATCCTCATGTCTCCTTCACTTTTGATCATGTGTTGTTACATGTAGGAAATGACTGCATCCTAATGTAAACAACTGATCAAATGTTAATATAGCACAAAGCGAACGAAGCTCATCTGACTGACTTACTCTGCAGACTGCCAGCGACCTCACTCAACTCCTGACTTCTAGGATCAATGGTCTAAATGCTTCAACAGACCACCTGCCACTCCACTGTCCATCTGTCCCTACTCTCCACACTAGAGGATCCCACGGTAAGCTTGGGGGATTTTACTTAAAATACCAGAAACAAGTGACATTACACAGGTGACTGGGGAGCTAGTCCACTCTGCAGCAGGGGCATTGCGTGGTGGCGGGGAGCTGGGGCTGGGAGGCACACACGTGGTGCTTAACTGGGCCGCTTAGTGCTGTGTGAGCTCCATTTCAGTCAGCTCGCTCTTCTGTACAGCAGAGTTCATAGCCCCAGGCTCCAGGGGTAAGAGGAGGATTTGTCAATGAGAGATAATGAAGTGTTCAGCCTCAGGTATGGCAGAGTCCATCCCCTGACACTGCAGCAGCC